AGTATGGCGTACATAAAATCTGTCAGAGTTGTAGTTGTCCTGGGAGTTTTGCCTCAAGTCCATTCTCTGTGAACCCTTAAGGACTCCTCATTAGGTACAAGTCCCTCCCTTTTCTGAGCATCCACTTTACAGCTGGTCCTCGAATAACGTTTCGCTCAACGTTGTTCCGTTATAACGATGATGAGATGCCATAGAAACTTGTCTGGTTTATATCAATTAACCTGTGGTAAAATTGTTTCCTTATGTTTTGCTTCAACTTGGAGAACCTTATCGATGAAGTTGAGGACTTACTGTACTTTTAAATATCAAACCTTTTTTGACGTTTTTTACGTTTGGTTTTGTAGGTAACTCAAATTTTATCTCAATGGCAGGTCTTTCAACACGCTGTTAAAAACTCAGTCAACTGCTCTCAAAAACACCATGGGAGGCAAGATTGTTCTCTGTTTTCTTTCATTTCTCTGTTATTTCCTTTATTTTTTCCATTCAGGTATTCATTTATTTAGTAAGCTTTCCTAAATATCTGTTGAAAAGTATCCAAATATAACTGACTGGATTCAGCAGTTTAGATTTTTATTGAGAATTTGTTGTCAGAAGAAATACTAAAACTCTATGTATTGAAACACATGGAATTTAAGGGAATCTACACAGCTGTGTGAACTTCATTATCAAAATAAAAAGTATAGTGAGTAATGGCTTTTAAAATTCAGATGATCAGTTGATTAATGGATGCTACAGATTTTGAAGGTAACTCACTTGATTGGTTATGTTAAATAATGTGTAGAAGATTTCTTAGAATTTTAATAAAGGAAAGCATCTGTTCATATGTTCAAACACTCCACTCCGTTTTTCTCTATTGTTTCTCAGCCCCCATTTCTCATCACACATGTTCATTTTTCAGTTTTGCATTTGGCATTTGTATTTTGAAAAATTCCATGGGATTCTGTTGCCCTGGGTGGAAGGGCCGGAAGGGAAAAGATGGTATATTTCCTATCAGAATTCATCAGAGTAGCAGTATGTGTGAGTGTGAGTGTGTGTGTGTGTGTGTGTGTGTGTACACATGCATATACACCATGGAATATTAATCAACCTTAAAAAGAAAGGAAATTCTATACTATGCTACAACAAGGATGAACTTCGTTATACTAAGTGAAATAGGCCAGTTACAAAAGACAAAATGATTCCAATTATATGAAGTTGTCAAAATCAGAGACAGTAAGGATAATGGTTGTTGCCAGGGACTGGGTTGAGGGGAGAACGAGGAGTTAGTATCTAATAGATACAGAGCTTCAGTTTTACAAGATGAAGAGAGTTATGGGAATGGAGGGTGGTGATGGCTACACAGCAATGCGAATGTACTTAATAACTGAACTTTAGCCTTAAACATGGTTAAAATGGTCAATTTTATGTTATATATATTTTACCACCAAAAAAAAAAAGACAAAAAAAAGTCAAGTGGAGAAGAATCTCCTAACAAAGTTGTGAGTGAAAATTTGGACTGGTGGGGATTGAATTGTATACAGGATCATTTACCAGGCACATTTGTTTTCTGGAGCTGCCAAAACCAAGTTCCATAAACCGGATGGCTTAAGACAACAGAAATATATTGTCTTAACAGTTGTAGAGGTCAGAAGTTTGAAGTCAAGGTGTTGGCAGGGCTGTGCTCCTTCTAGGAGAGGATCCTCCCTGCCTTTTCCAGCTCTGGTAGCCCAGGTTCCCTGCAGTGTGTAGATGCCTCACTCCATCCTCACACAGTCATCCTTCCTGTATCTCTCTCTATTGCCTCTCCTATTCTAAGAAGGACACCAGTCATGATGGATTAGGGGCCCCCACCCAGCTGCAGTACCACGTCATCTTAACTGATTACATCTGCAATGGTTATGTTTCCAAAGAAAGTCTCATTCTGGGCATTATTCTCTAGTGCTTTAGAGATGTAGGTAAAAGGCATTGCCTGACATGGCTGCATTCATGGTTTAGGAATATTAAATTAGCTGTAATATGAATAATGCATGTCAGGGTGGGTCAGGCAACAAGTAGACACCTTAGATTCTGTGGTCAGATTAGATAATGGGAGTGCAGTCTATTCTGTGGAATTGCCTTTATTGGCACACCCACCACTGAATATGCTGATCCCCACGTGTCAGACCCAGTCCTGTGGCTTCTCTTTATGCTCTCTGCTCCTTTCATGTGCTGTATTGCCCAGTGCATTTCCTGTTTCCTGCTGTGTTCTTTCTCATTCTCTATGAAGGTTACAGGACCATATCTAAAAGCAACTCTACATGGCTTACACGCTTTGTCTCCACATACATCAACTTTTCTAACATTAATACTTTTTTAGTTATGCAAAGCTTTTTCATTTCTTTCAGATTGGGATACTGCAGTTGAAATTAAATCGTCAATTTCTAGTAAGAGCATTTCTACAGATAAAAAATTCTATGACATTAAAATGGAAGGAATGACAAAGAACGATCTCTGGTATTTGTCGTTAGAAGAAGTCTGGCAATGTGAAGACCAGTTTGATAAGTATCAGGAAAAGCAGGAGAGACACTTGAGGCAAGTGGCATTCACCCAAAAGAAAGTACTTACTCAGGAGAGAGTCAGTGAAAGTGGTCAATATGGGGCAAACTGTCTTCTTCCTGCTCAGCTAGTACTGAGAGAGTATTTCCATAAACATGACTCACGTACTAAAAGTTTAAAACATGATTTAGTTTTTAGTGGTCATCAGGAAAGCTATGCAAATAACAGTGATGAATGTGGCCAAAACTTCTGTCAGAACATTCACCTTATTCAATTAGCAAGGACTCAAACAGGAGATAAACCCTACAAATGCCCTGATGATAACTCTCTCACTCATGGCACATCCTTTGGTATATCAAAGGCTATACACAGAGAAAAACCCTATCAGTGTAAGGAATGTGGGAAGTTCTTCAGCTGGCGCTCTAATCTTACCAGGCACCGGCTTATTCATACCGGAGAAAAACCCTATGAGTGTAAAGAATGTGGAAAATCTTTCAGCCGGAGTTCTCACCTCATTGGCCATCAAAAGACTCACACTGGTGAGGAACCCTATGAATGTAAAGAATGTGGGAAATCATTCAGCTGGTTCTCTCACCTGGTTACCCATCAGAGAACTCATACAGGAGACAAACTCTACACGTGTAATCAGTGTGGGAAATCTTTTGTTCATAGCTCTAGGCTTATTAGGCACCAAAGAACTCATACTGGAGAGAAACCTTACGAATGTCCTGAATGTGGGAAATCTTTCAGACAGAGCACACATCTCATTCTGCATCAGAGAACTCATGTTCGAGTGAGGCCCTATGAATGTAATGAATGTGGGAAGTCTTACAGCCAGAGATCTCACCTTGTTGTGCATCATAGAACTCACACTGGACTGAAACCCTTTGAGTGTAAAGATTGTGGGAAATGCTTCAGTCGAAGCTCTCACCTTTTCTCACATCAGAGAACCCACACTGGAGAGAAACCATACGAATGCCATGATTGTGGAAAATCCTTCAGCCAGAGTTCTGCCCTCATTGTGCATCAGAGAATCCACACTGGAGAGAAACCATACGAATGTTGTCAATGTGGGAAAGCCTTTATCAGGAAGAATGACCTTATTAAGCATCAGAGAATTCATATTGGAGAAGAGACCTATAAATGTAACCGGTGTGGAATTACCTTCAGCCCGAACTCTCCATTTATAGTACATCAAATAGCTCACACTGGAGAGCAGTTCTTAGCATGTAAGCAGTGTGGGACAGCACTTGTTGATAGCCCTAGCCTTGCTAGGTACCAGACAGACCATACTAGAGAAAACACTTATTAATGTGAATGTGGGAAGCTTTTCACAAAGAAAAATAGAACTGGAGAGAAGCCGTACAGATGTAATCTCTGAGGAAATGCTTTGTCTTATTCCTATCCTTTTTTTGTACTAGAGAATTGGTCCTGGAGGGGAGAAACCCACAGATTTCACTTTAGTACAGAAATACATCAGATTTCCTTCTTTCCACAAACTTCTACAAAAGCAGTTGGCATGGGAGCATTCTTGACCAAGCCTTAAGTGCTAAAATCTGAAACGGAACCACCAAGTAGGTGAGTTGTTGAGAGATGATCCAGCTTTTTATCTTCAAAAAATAAGTAAATGATAATGCTACTTCAAAAAGATAAATGAGAGCCGTTCTGAGTAGAATAGAAAAGTGATGCAGTTATTGTAACAAAAGATAGAAAGTAACATTCTATTGAATTAACATGCCATTTTTTACTTGCTTGTTCCTCTCTTCTTGGACACTTGATAGTGTTAGGTCTGTTTTATGTGTCTGATATAACCACATTTTGTTTAGCAGGGAGAATGCATATAATGGAAAACAATAACACGTTTACTGTTAGTACCCATTAAAAATATATTTGCATGTGGGCAAGAACTGAAAAAGTATTGATGGATAAATGAACAGAATTGATTTGTTAGATAATGAGATTACGAGTGAGTTTTATAGCTTATTCAGTGTAACTAATAATTTTTTTAAAGACAGTTTTAAATATTTAAAGAGGATATCTAGTTTCTCTATTTCGCCATCAAGGAAGCTTGAGAACCACCTACTAGCAAACTTTCTGATTAATTCTAAGTTGTTTTGGGTCATAGAGTTATACTCTTTGAGACAGGGTGCTAAAGTCTCCTGGGAATTTGAAAACAGTGATTCTCTGGACGTTGGGGTCCAGAGGAACTTTGGCTGTTTGAACACACCAGGGAGGGCTCCATTTGAGTGGGAATAGGTACCTGGGAAATACCTGAGTTAGTGTGCTCATGAAATAAACAGCCCTACCCAAAGGTACTCTCCTTCCAAAGTAGTTCTCATCTTTATAAAGAAGACGTAGTGGTTAAGAGCATAAACCTGAGCTAGACCACCCAAGTTGAAATCCCACCTCTGTCCTAAACTTGATGGGTGAACTTGAGTGTGCTACCTAGCTTCTCTGTGCATAACTTATAGATATCCTCCTCTGTAAATTAGGGATATTACTAACTCTGTAGGATTGTGATGAGAACTAAATGAGTAAACATATGAACAGCTTAGAATAGTGTTTGACATCTTGAGTGCTTTAAAATTATTAGCTATGGTTATTAATATTACTGCTTCACCCTAGTGTCTGTTATTTAATTTAATCCTTATTGAGTGCTAATAACTCCTTGAATTCTCAATTCCCTTCCAGCCATATATATTTGTCTCTTTTACATTAGAATTTATCAGCCTGAGGATATCACTGACCCATAGCGGGTGTATGAATTCATTTTTGAGGATCCATAAACAAGTTTTAATATTGTATGCAAAGTTATTGGTTTTGTATAAAGGTTTTTTCTTCTGGGAAGAGGATCCTAATTTTCAGATTCTCTGATAAGTTCATGACCCTAAGAAGATTTACAAAGAGAATCTGTTTTAATTCTCTGATTCATTCTGTAAATGGTTCTGCTGTGTGTAGGGACGGACCATTACTTGCCATTTTCTAGCAAACAATATATATATGAAATGCTCAGTGATTGTTGAGTGACAAATGTTGTTTAGACCAACAGGACAAAGATCTTTATGTCTCTCCCAGGAAAAAAAATCTAGAAATGATTGTTAGGATTGTGAGACTTTAGATACCACAAGGAATGTGAGACTATCCAACTCGTACTCTTCATTTTACATTTGAGACACTGTGATTGGCTCAGGGCTCGTGTTGTGAGTGAATCAGTCCCAGAACAAGCCCACAGGTCCAGCCATTACTGCTGCTGTCCTCAGTGCTTACATGCCATTCACATGTAACATGCCCTATCAGAACTAGTCTTCATTGTCAGCAGGGTTCTTCAGGGGAGTGGAAGAGCAGTCTATTAACTGGGCCCCTAGACTTTCTAATAGCCTCTGGCTCAGTGTTACTCAGCTGTGTAATGGAGGTACTACTACTATTCCTACCTCAGAGGTCTCTGTGGATCAGCAAGATAACGTGTAAAATGTGCTTAAAACAGTGCCTGGCACATAGTACTGTATGTGTCACCTATTAATAATAACATTACTATTGTTAACAGCCTACGGAATGTGGGAAGAGATATATATGTCTGTGGATGATCACTGAAACGTTACCTATGATGGTGCAAAATTTGCAATATAAAAATGTATAATAGCAAGATGGTTATTTATAGAATATCCAAGTAATATGCAGACATTAAAATTACGCAAACAAAATTTGGTAACCTAGGAAAAATGTTGATGGCTGTCATGTGTTATGAAAAAGCATGATAAATGTCAATATAGAATAAGCTCAAATATGTAAAAATAAATGAATTGTGAAAAATGAATCTTGCTCAAAACTCTTCAGGAAATTTGTCAAAAGATTAATAGCAGTTAACCTACATATTGGGGGAATTGGCATTTACTTTTCTACTTTTTTTGTACTTTTTTGTTCTTTCCAAATCTTCTCAAAGAATATATATTACTCTTAGGATCAGGAAAACAGTCCTGTCAGTGACCACATATTCTCTCTTTAAAAGTTCATATGTACCATATGTATCATAGAACCTTAATAAGGGTATTTGGCAAGGTTACAGGATACATGATCAATATACAATAATCAATTCCGTTTCTATATAGCAGTGAACAATTTGGAAATGAAATCAAATACAATCTCATTACAATGATACAGAAATGTGAAATAGGTAAATGAAATGAGCAAGGTCTTTACACTGAAAAGTATAAACATTGCTGTATTTCAAGAACACAATCAAGAATACATAAACACATAATAAGTGGAGAAATATACCATGGTCAAGGATTGGAAATTCAATATTGTTAAGATACCTGTTCTCCCCAAATTATTTTTTAGGTTCAGAGGCACTTGTGTGGAAATTGGTGAGCTAATCAAAACTTATATGGAAATTTAAAGGACCTAGAATAACAAAAGCAATTTTTAAAAAAGGACAATGGTGGAGGGCTTACACTACCTAATTTCAAAGTTTACTATACAACTACACTAATGAAATGATGGTATGAGGATAGATATAGGTCAATAAAACAGAATCCAGAAATTGACCTACATATACATTGTCACGGAAATTTTGACATAAGTGCCAAAATAATTCAATATGGAAAAGATAGTCTTTTAAGCCAGTGGTGGTGTAACAACTGGATATTTGTAGGGAGTGGGGGGGAACCCTCCCCTTATATTACATACAAAAAGCTCCAAATGTATCACAAACTTAAATGTAAAAGCTAAAACTTTTAAATATCTAGAAGAAAATATTTATGGCAGAGATTTCTTTTAGCATGAAAAGCATGAATCATAACAGAAAATATGATTGATTGGACTTCTTAAAAATTAAAAACTTCACCTCTTTCAAAAACAATGTTAAGTAGATAAAAAGGCAAGCCATAGAATAGTATATATTCATAACACATGTATCTCACAGAGACATGTATCCAGAATATGAAGAATCCTTAGTACTCATAAGTTATATAGCAAGAAGACAAACCAAAAAAAATGCAAAATGTTTTACCAGATGTTTCACATAAAAGAATACATATGACTATCTAGCAAAACCAGGTAAAGATACTCGACCTCATTAGTCATTAGGGAAATGCAAATCAGAACCACAGACATAACACTTCACATCCAGTAGTATGACTAAGACAAAAAAAATGGTAACAATTGTTAATGAGGATTGGAGATATTAGAACCCTTGTTCATTGCTAGTGGGAGCAGTCTCTATGGAAACAGTTTGGTATGTCATCAAACTGCTAAACATAGTTACCATTTGATCATTAATTCCATTCCTTAAATTAAAAACATTGGTCCATATAAACAGCAGATGTCATGTATAATAATTCGCAACATGTGGATGGGTAAACAAACTGTGGTATAGTCATTTAATGGAATACTACTCAGCAACAACAAATTGATATACCCAACAGCATGGTTAAATCTCAAAAACATTCTAAAAGAAGTCAGAGAAGAGTACACACTATATGACTCCCATACATAAAATTATAAAAAAACTCTGTTTTTTAGACAACAGGTAAATCGGTGGTTGCCTGTGGCTGGGGATGGGAGAGCAATTGACTGCAAACAGGACCAGAAGGGAACCACTGGAGATGATTTGTGTCTTGGTGGTGGTGGTTCCATGACTGTTCATTTGCTAAATGCACTTCAAATGGACCCAGTTTGTTGTATGTCAATTATACCTTAATAAAATTGGTTTTTAAAAATTATTCAGAAAACCAGGGACATGGGGGGGGGGAACAAAATCTGCAGCTCCAACTGACTGCTAAAATCAGTTGTAGTAATTGCATATTTTAAAAACTATTTATAGACAGCTTAATATGAGGCAACCAATCTGCTAAACCCTTTAATGCATTAGATTATTTCTATATGTAATCCTATGAGAAACATTATAGTATCTCCCCTCCTCCATAGTTAAGGGAACTAGAGTTTGGAAATTTCAAGTGATTTGCCCAAATTTGACATAGCTAGTAAATGGTGGAGCGTCGTTTGGAAAATAACTGGCAGATTTGTGTAAGATTTGTGTGGCAGATTTCAGTAAGATGTCTGGCACATAGTGGAGGGTCTTATAAAATTAGCTACTCTAATACAAAAAGTAAATACTACCATTATTATTCTCTCCAGAGACAGTCACTCAGACTTCCCTCAAACATTGTCCTCTGTCTCCCTCTATACTGCCATTGTGGTGATGATGTCATATCTTAAAATGACACAGCTACTCAGTGGAAATTAGAATCTAAAGGGAAGAAAGTAATGTTCAAAAAAGTCATATGGCATGTGAGTTACATGCACCATCTCATTTAAATTTTGCGGTAATTCTGTTGACTTTTATTAATTTCCTCCCAGTTTCTGAGCTCAGAGTGACTCGTCCCAGGTTGCATAATAAGTGGAGGAACTAGGGTTCAAACCCAGGCCATTTTAGCTACAGTTTTTCTGCAACTCCTTGCTGCCTCCACATCTAGCTAAGGATCTTGGTGCTATCATAAGGGTAATGGGAAACCAGTGAGGAATTTTTGAAAAGATCCCAGCCTCACGGTCACCAAAGGTATAGACACATGGGAAATCAAAGTATCCTCTTAACATTCATTCATCCATTCATTAAACACACACTGATTAAATCTGTGGAACTGGCTTTCCTGTTACATGGCAAGAAGTGAAAAAAATTGATTTAGTGAACTTTGTCTTTCAATAAGCTGCAAGCTGACTGCGTTGCTAGTGTTTTAGCAGGTGTACAGGAATTGGTTGAAAACAAAGTTACGGTGTGGATAGACAGCTATTGGTTGAGGTTGGCAAGATAATCTAAGAATGAGACGAATTTAGGAGATAGATGTTAAAGGAGTAGTGCTTCCACAGGTTTTGGAGGCTCCAAATGGTTGGAAAAGCAAACTGTTTTGGGCCCCATACATTAGGAATTACGTTTCAGATTTTTTTAGTGACTGTTCCCTTATCACCAAGCCCTATGGAAAAAAAGATTAGATTTAGGATGTATTGCCTTACAGATGAGTTCTACTCTGACTGCCTGTTGTGGATTGAATTGTGTCCTCCCGAAATCCATGTTTTGAAGTCATATCCCCCAATAACAGAATGGGGCCTTCTACGAGAAAGGGTCTTTACAGAGTTAAGTAACGTCATTAGAGAGAGCACTAATCCAATATCAGTGTTGTTCTTATTTTTGAAAGAAGGGACATTTGGACACAGAGACACATATATAGAGGGAAGATGATGTGAAAATACAAAAAGAAGACCGGTCTACAAGTCAAGGAGGGAGGCCTATGACAGATCCTCCCTCACAGCCCCCAGCAGGAACCAATCCTACCGACACCTTGATTTGGCGCTTGGAGCTTCCAGAACTGTGAGGCAATCAGTCTCAGTTGTTTGAGCCCACATTCCATGGTACGTAGGGTCAGTAGGCCTAGGAAACTAAGACACTGCTGGCGCTGCCGATCTCCTTTACCATGTTTTTTATTTTTTCTGTAGTGCTTGTCGCCTTTAAAAAAATCAATGTCTATATCTACCTATCATTTATTATCTGTGTTCCCCTGTAGAAATGAATCCTTCACAAGGGATCTTAGTTTTAATTTCTGAGGTAGCCTCTGTGCCTGATATGGGGCTGGATCATAGTCGACATTCAATAAATATTTGTTGAGTGTTGAATGAATTGATGAAGGAATTAACATTCATCCACTGAATCTAAAATGGGGTATGCCGTAAATGTATGGCCAACCAAAAACTGAACATATATGGTGATCTTTTAGCAAAGAGGAAAGGGTGAGGATAGTTACTGGATAGTGAAGCCACAGTGCTTGCCACATGGAGATACACCCTAACAGATATCACAATTAATTATAAAGGTGGTACATGTGGAACTTGGCCATCAACGGCTAGTGTGCATGCAACCAAAGGAATGGAAATAGCCCAAACCAGTTTGAAGAACAACCGTAAAAAGAGCTTTGACCTATGACTTGTCAAGGCTCACAGTAATGCTATAGCAGGACAATGGTATGTTGGCACAGTGTAGAGCAGGAGTTGGCAAACAATAGACCAAAGGACAAATCTGGCTTGCTGCTTACTTTTGTGACTAAAGTTTGACAGGACTAGAACCATGCTCATTCATTCATGTATTACCAATGGCTGCTTTTATGCTACAATGGCAAAGTTCAGTAGTTATAAGACTACAGCCCACAAAGCCTAAAATATTTACTGATTGTGATGGGCTGAATTGTGCCCCTCCCCAATTCCTATGTTGGAGTCCCAATCCCCAGTAACTCCAAATGTGACTGGATCTTTAACATTTAAACATTTCAAGTTAAAATGAAGATACTAGGGTGGACCCTAATCCAGTATTACTGGTGTCCTTTAAAGAAGAGGTGATTGGGACACAGACACGCAGAAGGATGATCACATGAGGACACAGGGAGAACGTGACCAACTCTGTTGTCATTTTGATCTCTGACTTCCAGCCTCCAAAACACTTGAGAAGATAAATTTGTGTTGTTTAAGTCACCCAGTCTGGCATCCCTAGAAAATAATACACTGGCCTTTCACAGAAAAATGTTCAGACTCCCATCGCAGGCAAATATCAATGGAACAAAACAGAGACTAGAAACACACTCATGTATATGTCATAAGGACAATAATGGCTCCTGAATGATGTCCACACCCTAATCCTGTAACCTATAAATATGCTACCTTAATGAAAAGAGGGAACTAAGCTTGCTAAACAGCTGACCTTAAAATAGGAAGATTATTCTCAATTATCCAAGTGTGCTCAATGTTAGCACACGAGTATTTGAAAGTGGAAGGAGGCAGAAGAGGAGGCCAGAGTGATGTGATGTGAGCAGCACTCAATCCTCTGTTGCAGGTTTTGAGGACGGAGGTAGGGGGCCATGAGCCAAGAAATGCAGGTGGTCTCTAGAATCTGGGAAAGGTAAGGAAAAGCTTCTCCCCAAGAGCTTCCAGAGAGGAATGCAGTCCTGCCAACATCTTGATTTAGCCCAGTAAGGCCCATGTTGAACTTTTGACCTACAGGACTGTAATATAATAAATTTGTATTGTTTTAAGCCGTTAAGTTTGTGGTTATTTTTTACAGCAGCGTAGAAAACTAACAGTGTATGAGAGCTTAGTATATAACAGATTCTGTAACAAATCAAATGGACAAAGAAAGCTAACTACATTTCAGTATAAAACTTTTAGAGCCTTCCTTTCCATATTGAGTATTTAATCTAAGATTTATTTTAAAAATATAGTGAGACAGCAATCTTTGTTCTAATATTATATAGCTGTCTCATTGTTCCTGCACAATTTGTTGAAGGGTTTGTCTTTTCTATAATATTTTCCCCCACAGAAAAGTTGAAATAATTTTACAGTAAATGTTCCCAAATTTAAGATGTTACTTACTTTGTTGAATTTGCATTGATGGTGCAAAAGTCATAATGGATAAAACTATCAGCACTCAGTATGCATCAAGGAAACGGCCCCAGAGTGTATTTATTCGTAGCCATTGTATTCATCACCACACTCTCAGTTTCATTTCAGGATGTTCTAAATGGAGCAGTAAAAAATAATTTATTAAATCTCAACTGTTTATTATCTGTGCAACGAATATTCTGTGCTGCATACTGAAGTTCCATCGTTGGCTCCAGAAAAAAATCACTTGTGTGATTATTTGAGTTGGAAGCTGAACTTTGCATGGAAGAAAGACTGAGAGACATCCTACCTGGGGATGTGGCTGACATTTTCTCAAAAATCAACCAAGTGAGCTTGTCACTTCAAGGAAAATAAATGACAGTATTTTTTTTTCTTGCAATATAAAATTAAAATACGCAAATGAAAAACAGAATTTTGGAAAACATATTTGCTGTGAACTTCATAGCTTCCCAATACTTAAGATTAATAATGACATGAATATGATTTTTCATATTTTAAAATGAAATGTTTCAACATTTGGAAGATCTGCATGTCAGTGTGAGAGGAGAGGGCATCTGAAAAAATGCAAAGGAAAGGGCCTGCAGATGTGAACAGCAGGTTAAAACTGCTCCGTCCCCCCATGCTGCCCAGTGCTCTCCAGCTAACATGTTTTCCCATAGCTACCTCCCCCACCTCAAGGACTCTCCAGCTCACATCTGTTGTTTCATGGCTTGCCAACCAACTGTTCTTATCTCTGCAGCTGTGCAGGAATAACAAGACTGTGTAAAACAGCTTGTTATCTTACAATCGGGGCTCAGGCTGAGAAGGTGCCGGCATCAGTAAGTGCGGCTCCCTGCTTACAGCATAGGAGTCCCGTCTCTCCCGTTCAAGAATCCTATAATGGTGCTGATAACGCCAAGGTCGTGGGTTCTACAAAATAAATGATCTGTAAGACCAGTGGTCTGGAAATTCCTACCCCCTTGCAGCCCCCCACCCGAAGTTGCCCCTCCTCATCCTGAATAAGGAGGAACACGTGAAACCTCAGGCAAAGGAATCACGCGCCCCTTGCATGGACACTGCAGAGATATATAAGCTGTAATAAATCTAGCCAAGGGGAGATCGTGCTTTGTGTGTGGTGAATGTTTCACGCTCTCTACCGGTAATAAATACTCCTTCCTCTAACAAAGTTGAGCATCCAAATTCCTCCATCGGGTGTCACTTCCTGCAACAAGTGAACCCATATTTTCCAATGCATGATGTTACAAAAGTATGCATGATAAAATGACTTAAAGTGCAAGACAGACCGATGAATTTTAATAATAGAGTAAAAGAACTTACCTGTGTAATAAAAATATAACGACCTCAACCAAGATCGGAATGGGGAGGGACTGTAGGGTGAGCTCTCAGTGCTACATGGATGGCAAAGCCCTACAGGAAGAACTCCTTGGTTGCCACAGCCCTCCAAATTCCTATTTTAACAGAATTTCCTCTTTGTGCTGGGGACTTGTACTCTGTCTCCCATGGCTGCATGTTCTGGGTTGCAGTTCTTTTTCCCCCCCGAATAAACCTTTTTTATTGGAGTAATAGCTACCTGACTTTTTAAGGCAAATACCTGTGTGATTTCAGACTGTACATTGCAACTAAGTTATCCCTTGTTCGGTTTGTACTATCTAATAAAAATACCCACAGTTATCTGATGAGAACATTAAAACACCCTGTCCCTTTCCAACTCCACACCAGTGCGTGACCATATTTTCTTTATATACTTTCACAAAGACAACATATGCAGATTGAATGCAGAAGCAAATGTGAGGACCCAGTTGTTTTCTATTAAGCCAGACATTTAAGAGGTTCCTCCCCATCAAGAAAAAAAAGTTTTAAAATGCTACTCCTCGCTAACTTTTTTTTAATAAAAATGTCATTTATGCTAATATGTTATAAATCTTTGAGTCGTGAAAGTGTAAATGAGGACTCTTACCACTTCGGAAAAGCATGGACCATAATACATTTTTAGCTCAGTTTACTCCACTCTCGCCTTTGCTGTCCGTGATTTCAGTTCTCTATCGTTAAGTCGACAGTGCCGGCGCCCAAGGACTCGGCCTGGGGAGCCTGAGCTCTGGTTGCAGCGCGCCCGGCCCCGCCACCCCGGGCCCCGAGCCGCAAGTTTTTTTCCCCAGCCCCAAGCCCCGCCGCCGCGAGCCCGGAGCCGCGAGCGCAGCCCGGAGCCTGAAGTGCCGCAGAGGCTTCTGGGAGCTGTAGTTCTTTCTGCCCGCGGGGTGGCTCTGACGCGTTTCCGGTGCGTCCCCAGCAGCCGCCATTGGCTCCGCCGCCATTGGCTCGACCAGTGTCGGAGAACCTCGTTTCCCTGCGGGCGTTGGTTTCCCACTTCGGTGACCCAAACCGGAGTGGGTGTCTTTGTCTTCCCCGAGGGCTGTCGCGCAGGCGCCCCGGGACTGGCGCCTCAAAGTCAAGAGCGAGGACGAGGCCGAGCTGCCTGCCGATCAGGAGGTGGAGGCGGCCGACCTCTCCCCGCCCCGCTGCCCGTTCCGGGCTTGGAGGAGCCGACGCGCGGAACGTTTTCGAGGCGCGGGCGGGTGCGTGCTGGTCTGGCCCCGCTCCTTCCTGCCCGCCTGTGTGTTGGTGGGCGGCGGAGCTAGGGGACCCCGTGGCTGCGTGAGGGAAGGAGGCTCGGTCGTGGCGAGGGCCGGGGTCAGTGTCAGGGTCCTCCAAACTCCCGCTGTGGAGCAGGAGGGTCCCTCCTGCGTGCGGGTGGGAGAGGCGGGGAGACCGCTCTCCTCACGGTGCTCTTCTCCGGCAGCCCACGAGTCCAGCCACCTCCAGCGGGGTACCCAAAACTGCGTGGGAATGGCCACCAGGGTCCGGACAGCTGCCATCTGGGTGAGTAGCGGTTTTTCTCTTGTTTTCGAAAAGCTCTCCCTGAGCGCTGACGTGTGCACGGTCCATCTCTTCCTGGACAATGGGCTGCTGTAAACCGGGATGAAATGGTTTTTGCGAAACTATCAAATTACTATGTCATCGAAGTTAAAAATTACTCTTGTCATAGGGTATAATTTATATACTGTAAAGTTCATCCCTTCGAAGCGTATCAGTCATTTTTAGTAGAGTGGCGCCCCCCCCCCCTTTATCTGCAGGGGATACATTCCGAGACCCCCAGTGGATGCCCGAAACCTCCCATAGTGCTGAACCCTGTATACACACGATGTTTTCACTATTTATCCGTATCTTTGCACTTAACGGAACTACTTCTCGGTCTCTCTTTGGCATATCCGAATTGCCAGCATCACTACTCTGGCGCTTTCCCGCCGTTATGAGGTAAAATGAGGGCGACTTGAATGCAAGCAGAATGCTCCCTCTGCAGTCCGCTGGCTAACCAAGACGACTAACAGGCGGCGAGTGTAACAGCCAGGATGCGCTGTGCAAAGGGGTGATTCACGTCCTGGGTGAAATAGGGTGGAAAGGCACAAGATTTTATCACGGTACTCAGAACGCTGTGTAATTTAAAACTTATAAATTGTTTCTTTTATGGAATTTTCCATTTAATACTTTTGAACCGTGCTTGATCATGGAGAGTGAAACCGCAGCTAAGTGGGGACTCCTGTATTCACAGAGTTGTGCAGATATCACCACTGTCTAATTCCAGAACATTCTCATCACTGCAGAAAGAAACCCTGTTCCCGTTCATAGTAACGCTCCATTCCTTCTCTCCCTTGGCTACCATTTAACCTACTTTTTGTTTTTATGAATTTACCTGTCCTGGACATTTCTATATAAATAGAATTATACCACACGTGGTCTTTCGTACCTGGCTTCTTTCACTTAGCATAATGTTTTCAGGTTGCTCTGTGTTGGTTGCAGCCTGCTCGTAATGTTGGTATTGACCAGCGTTTCCTGGGGCACTCACCCAGGTTGTGCTGCCTGGCGTGAGCCCCACAGACGTTTCCCCTGCCAGCGCCAGGGCCTTTGGGGTTTGTTCTGTGATTTTAAGGAACACCTCAGCATCAAGCAGCAGGGAACTTTAAAAAAATGAGGTTTATTATCATAGGTCCCGGATGGTACGTGGCACGCTCCAGGCCACACAGTGAAGTCATGGGTGGAGAGGGAGATCATGCGTGCAGTCCTGGGATTCTGCCTTCATTGGGGTAGAAAGGTAGGGGTGCCTTGAGTTTCACAGGTTTACTCTATTGGTAAATTTAAAATATAAGAGTGGGAATTAAAGCACGGGAAGGGAAAAGCAGGATCATTCATGCGAGCAGTTATCTAGGTCACCCAGGCTTTCTTAAGGGGGAGTTCTTGGGTGAGGCCGCCTGGCTCTTCATGTAGCTGGCGGTGTTTGTGCACGGATGTCTGTGAAGTGGATGTCTCAGCCATCAAAAGCTTAATGTCAGGCACTTAACATTACAATAAAAAAAAAGCTAATTGTTAGGCACTTGTCCTATAAAAGTTCATCCTCAGACTTAGCATTTATCAGTACTTTGTTCCTTTTCGTGGCTAAATGACATGTCTTTGTGTAGACAGACCACATTTTGGTTATCCATTCCTCTGTTGATGGATGTCTGGATTGTTCCTACATTTTGGCTGTTACGAATAATGCTGTTAGGAACATTTGTGTACAAGTGTGTGTATGGACGTATGCTTTACATTCTCTTGGCCAGATAGCTAGGAATGGGCTTGCTGGGTAATATAATAACTCCGTGTTTAACATTTTGAGGAACTGCCCGAACTGCTTCCAACGTAGTTGCTCCATTTTACATCCTAACAGTAACATAGAAGCGTTAAAGAACCTTACTCTTGCATCTTCAGGTCATATGCTAGATATCTTGGTTGTTAACAGCAGTTGTAACTGTCATATCCTATAGTATACATAAAATGGTTTTACAATAACAATTTACTACTAATAGCAAGGATACTAAATGAAGTTCTGTGTATCTTGCCCCTCATTTTATCCAAAGAATAGACAAATGACATGGGGTAAGATCAGTTAGAAAAATTGTTGTCTCTTGTCGTTTCTAATTTGATAAACAAATGTATTTGTCGACATTCGTTTTCAACTTTAAGGATTGCCCTCCCTTTCATCATGTAAAATATTTATATGATTCAGAAGTGGAGATTGTATAATGGTACATTCAGACAAGCCGAGCTTTCATCCCTTCTGCCCTGTTTTTTCTCTACCCCAGAGGTAACTGTTTTAACAGTTTCTAGTTCTTCTTTTCAGTGATTCTTTTGGAAATAATAAGCAAACACATGCGTACACATGTGCCTGACCTGACTCACTGCTAAGCTTTGTTAGGAAGCCTTTTATTCTGCCTTGACCCCTGTTTCCTAGAGCTCAACATGCCTCATGTCACATGTACATCTTGTATTTTGTTGTTAAAAAGATTTCTGGAATAAGCTTCCTCTGGACACTTCCCTCTTCATCTCCTCGTTCCCTTCCCCCTCCCTCTCTCTGTTATTTCTCAGATCCTCCTGTTCTTAGTCTCCCACAGTTAGGTCACTTAGTGACTTGGGGAGCATTTTTTAGTCACCTGCAGCTCTGAGCCTGAGAGGCCTTGCTCAGAAATTCACTTAGGGGAGGTGCCCTCCTGTTGGGGTGAACATTTATTGGTGGCTTTGGAGATCTGCAGTGTGTGGCCAGTCAGAATCTCCCCTCATCTTCCACTCTTCTGCTGAGAACTGCCCTTTGCGAATGGATCACATCTGCCTGTATCCTGAGGTTTGTGAAGAGACCTGTCACCAAGGTTTTTTTGCAGCCGTCAATGGGCTTTTTCTTTTACTATTCTGGTAGGTCTTTTGTTTTTATTGGAGATTTCTGGGAGATTAAGAAACTACACTGCTACCCTGATCTCATGCTACTCTCAATGGTTTAACAACAAATATAAATAATAAGTGAGAGAGTAAGTGAGTTGTTCATGGACGTCTAAATAGTGAGAAAAGGAACTCACCTAAAACAGACTATTTCATTCGCAATCTATTACTTCGTACACCGCGCCTAAAACAGTTTATTTCTTAGCATCTGGCATTGTGTTCTTATTTCAGTAGTTACTCATAGTTGTTTAAATCAGGGTGGTCGCTGCACTTTTGGGGTTCCTGGTGCCTTTACAGAGTCTGAGGAGGGGGCACTGTCATCACTGCGCTGGGTTTTTCCATTGTCCTTTTATCTCCCTCCTGCCCCACAGTGGCACTAACCACAGTCTGCAGAACACCCAGCCTGACCCCCTGCGTATCTGTTCTCTAGCCAGAGAGACCAAGGTTGGGTCCCAGAGGGTATGTGTTTGCTAAAGTGAGATGATCTTTGTCCACAGGTCCCACCTCTCCAGGAACAAGATGGTCCGTGCAGGAGGATCAGAAAGCTACAAGGGAAGGAATTCAGCATAGATCAAGGGACCCCTGACCAGAGGCGTCTCCCTAGAGGACCCCAGCAGAGGCACAAGAATCACAAGACAGAGCAGGTCCTAGAGTGGCTGTTGATTTCCCAGGAGCAGCTAAAAACCACCAGGTCCCAGGTGAGTTGCTTGTTTATTTATTCCCACTTCTTTTCTCTATTACTTTTATTCGTGTAATTTTTTTGATGGGGAGAGGGATGGGGATCCTTAGCTTGAAGTGTTAAGTTAATCACTCCTCAGTTCACGGCCTGTTTATCATTATTGGTTTCTGTAAAGATCCTTTATCTTCATATCTCCTAATTTCCCTGTACTCGATTTCCATTTCCTTTTCCATCCCCCCAAATTATTTTGTTTTTAATGGATGTTCTTTCATTAGCAAGTTTATAAAATGTGTACTGTTATTGCTGCGTACGTATTTTTACCTCGTGTTAATGGTGTGTGCACATATGTATCTCTCTATATTGCTTATAATCTTCATTAAATGCTTTGTTTCATTTCGCACCCATGCTCTCACATTTATCAGCTCGCCGCTGGCCTCATTGATTTTACGACTTCTTTACATATTCTAGATTCAAGTCCTTCGATAGGAAATTTGTAAATTTTTTCCCCAGTTTCTGACTTGTCTTATCATTTTCATAACATGAACTTTCATTGAGCAAAGTATTTTAATTTTGATAAAGTCCATTTTCCCAATGTTAATTTTTTAAAACGGACTGTGCTTTTGGTGTCATATCTTAAAGTCTCATTGCTCAAACTA